CAGGTGAGCACGGCCCAGGTGAGCACGGCCCAGGTGAGCACGGCCCAGGTGAGCACGGCACAGGTGAGCACGGCACAGGTGAGCATGGCTCAGGTGAGCACGGCACGGGTGAGCACAGTTCAGGGTGAGCACGGCTCAGGTGAGCACGGCACAGGTGAGCACAGTTCAGGGTGAGCACAGAACAGGATGGGAGCAGCACAAGGGGAGCACGATGCAGGGTGAGGACTGTGCGGGATGGAGTGGCACAAGGTGGGCACAGCATTAGCCTTTGTTCTCGATGGGCTGAATGAACACCTAACACTATGAGACAGAACTCTGGGCTAATGTTACCCTGCTCTTAAAAGTTAACAATGTGCTGTGCAGGACAAGACACTGTGACAGGTTCTATACATCTCATTCCTAACTATATCATGCTTAGGTTTTCCAAGAAAAGACCACCCTGAGATATTAACAAAAGGAACTATTCAGAACTTGATGGTAGAGATTAACAATGCCTAGAAAGCCAGGACCCTGCAAAACCCACAATGTGCAGACTTTCATGGCACAAACTTTTATGGCTTTGGTGTTTTGTTTTATTAGAGTCAGGGTTTCACGTAGCCAAGGCTAACCTAGAACTCACTATGTACCAGAGTACGACCTTGAATTCCTAATCCACCTGCCTCTACCTCGCTGCCTGCTGGATTCGCACCCAGCTCCAGCTCTGCTTCTTACCCACAAGCAGAGCCACCATGTGGCAGCTAGTTCCCATATCTATTTGTTCGTTTGCCAGAGAAGAACTGATGTCCAGTTTTTAGCAGATGCTATTTATAACAGAATCCTAACAAAAGTACCATCCATCTGCCTTGGCACCCAGAAAATGCATAGCTCAACACAAGAGTGGAAACTACGCGCAGCCAACAGCAATGGCATAAAGAGCAAACTGTTGGCGCTGGCATCACACAGGGTAGGGAGAGAGCACTTGACTAAACTGGAGAAAGACCAAGAGCCACACAAAAGATGTGGGCAGCTACATCCACATACTTGAGAGAATGCTGTCTACTGAACCATCAAATGAGGGTCCTGTTCTACCTGGAGACACATGCATTAAAACGCCACAGCTGCCGCTGCCACCCATGACCCTCCACACGCTTCCATACACGCCTCAGCCACCAATCTTCTTGACTTTTGGACAGCGGGAAATACAAAGGATGTGGGTCAGACTGCCGATACCACCTATGGTGTCAGTTTGCAAGTGGATTCTTCTTCCGTCCCAGTCTCCTCGTCTGCAGAGTGGAAACAGCTGCTCTCCTTCAAGTGTGTTCTCAACCTGGATCCTCAGGGTGAGGCCCACATGGGACCTCTTACAAGCTCTGCAGACTCTCAACCAAGTGCAAAAGAATGGGTGGGATGAACTGACCCTAGAGCTTCCTGGAGCAAGTAACGGAGTGTGGACAGGGAGCCTGCGAGATGGCTCAGCAGGTAAAGGCGATTGCTGCAAAGCCGGATGATCTGAGTTCAGCCCCCAGACCCACAGGTAAGAAGAGAGAACCAACCTCCACAGGTTGTCCTCTGACCTCTATGTGTATGCCACGGCACCCACGCCCTCCAAAAAAATAAATAAAAATCTAAAAAGAAAAATTGCTAAGACCAGTGCTCTCATAGCTGGAGAAGGACCACCATTCATCTCTGGGTGAGTGCGCACCAGTCAGTAATAAGATAACTCAGAAAACAGGGCGATGGCACCATCTCAAGTTATTAAACAATAATCAAGCAATCAAACCAAACTCAAGAAAAACCACTGCAGGAGTGGCTTCAGCGTGGGCACTGGAGGAATGTGAAGTCAACGTGGAGACCACCACTGTGCCATTTTCAAAGCCCAGACAAGGGTTAGCAGTGGGCAGGTGCTGACTAAATCACTGCTAAGTAAATGAGTACCCAAGGGATGGTGTCAACCCAGGGGACAGGATAATCCCACTCACGAGGTCCCAGAAAAGAAATTTTCAGTATGTGTTACTAGAGACTGTTATGACTCAGGGTTCTTTAATTCCAAATATTCAGTTCAAACTCCAGCTCCTTCTCTCCTGAAAGTGAGGCCACTGTGCCTAAGTGCTTAACATTTAGTGGTCATCTAGAAGTGTAGCTCAAATTCTAATAATAAAAACCTGAGTCAGATATAGCGGTAATGCTGAAAGATCAGAGAATCAGAGCAGCCAGCCACTAGTTCTTACCTCTGCAGAATCCCCAGACCAAAAGGGTGATCCTGTCTCTACAGATCCTCATACTGAATGCAATGCTCTCCTCTCTCCTCCCACCTTAGATTCCTCTCTCCTCCCACCTTAGATTCCTCTCTCCTCCCAGACATATCATCACTCCCATCTCTACCTCCCTAGTGCTGGGATTAAAGGTGTGAGCCATCACCGCCTGGCTCTGTTTCTCTTTTAGACTGAATCAATCTCGCATAGCCCAGGGAGGCCTTGAACTCACAGAGATCCATGTGCCTCTGCCTCCTGAGTGCTGGGATTAAAGGTGTGTGCCACCACCACCTGGCCTCTGTGGCTAACTAGTGGTTTAGCTCTGCACTCTGATCTTCAGGCAAGTTTTACTTGTTAGATCACAAACAAAATACCACCACACAGAAGCCCTTCTCAGCTTTGTCCGATGAAACCCAGGAGAACGTTCCCTCCTGTCTAAATGTGAGGAAAGATGTCTTCCCAAAATAACTAAAGGCCTTACTTTCCTGGATTAAATAAATTCCATTTTGAAGGAGCTGGGAACTGAGCCTAGGACCTCACACATGCTAGGCAAGTGCTCTACTGCTGAGTTATATGTCCAGCCACTGCTATCTTTTTTAAGTCTGCTGTGCCTTGAGTTGACAAGAAACTCACAGCTAACGTCACAGCCCAGTTTTACTGATCAAGACCTGAACATTGTCTTTCCTCCCCATGACTGTTTTGTTTGCTCTAATTTCCTTTCTGAGACTAAAAAGCAACTTGGAGAAGGAATGGGTTTACCTAGCTCACATTTCCAGAACACAGTCCATCCTGAGAGAAGTCAGGGTAGGCACTGAACCAGGAGCTTAAAGCAGAGACCATTGAAGAATGCTGCTTGCTGGCTTGCTTTCTGGGTTACTCACTGGCTCGTGCTCAGCAGCTTTCTTATACAGGCCAGGCCCACCTGCCCAGGGAATGATGCTGCCCACAGTGGGCTGCAGTTAACTATCAAGACAGTCCCCTACGGATATACATGCAAGCCAACCTGACATGGGCAACCCCTCAGCTGAGACTCCCTTCTTAGACGACTCCAGGCTGTGTCAAGGTGACATTTTAAGCTACTTGGGACACTGTTCTGTCAGTATTTTGCCTTGTGCTGATTTATATGTTTTAGTTAACCACATGGGAGGTGTTCTTATATGCCATCCCAAAGCCCTGCCTGGACTTCAGATATGTAACTGGACATCTGCTTGTTAGGAACACAGCATCTACTATCAGACAATATAGGAGCAGAAGCCACATTCTACTGCTTCTCAGCTTTGTGAAGTGTCTCACCTTGTGCCACTAACTATACATTTTCATAATAACTGTACCTTTCCTGAGGACTAAATTTAAAAGGTATGTAGGGGCTAGCCGGGTGGTGGTGGTGCACACCTTTAATCCCAGCACTGGGAAGGTAGAAGCAGGCAGTCTCTGTGAGTTCAAGGCCAGTCTGGTCTACAAGCGCTAATTCCAGGAAAGGATTCAAAGCAACACAGAGAAACCCTGTCTCAGAAAACAACACAACAACAACAACAACAACAACAACAAAAGGGGCCAATGGCATAGCTCATTGGATAAAGATACTGCCGCCAAGCCTGACAACATGAGTCTGATCCCTGGGACC